TCTTGGAACCGAACTCGGTCGTAAGTCGGATGGTAGGTGTTACTCAATAATTCTAGCGGCTTCAAATCAAGCAGGAGATTTAAACAACTATAGGCCAATATCAAACTTACTATTGCTATCCAAAATCTTTGAGAAACTCGTGCACAGGAGACTGTATTCATTTATAACGTCACAAAACATATTCAACCCCTGCCAATTTGGATTCAGGAAAAATAAAAGCACTAACGATGCAATCATAAAAATGCTAGATCTGCTTTACACAGCATTGGAAAATAAGGAATATCCACTAGGAATTTTTATTGACCTAAGAAAAGCTTTTGACACAGTAGACCACGGCATCCTACTCCACAAACTTGACCATTATGGTATAAGAGGCCATGCGCTTGCATATTTCAAATCTTACCGTACTAATAGGTATCAGTATGTCACCATTAAAGACACAGCATCAACAACACAGCCACTTGATACTGGAGTTCCGCAGGGAAGTGTCTTTGGTCCCCTGCTCTTCCTCATATACATCAATGATCTTCCAAACATATCTCGACACCTGAACCCCATTCTCTTTGCTGACGACACGACTTATGTCATCTCTCACCCTAATCTTGCCACCCTCAACACCATTATTAATGAGGAGCTGATCAAAATATCGACTTGGATGACAGCCAATAAACTTACGCTTAACGTTGACAAAACCTACTACATTATGTTTGGTAGCAGAGCAGGAGATGCGCAAATTAACATTAAGATCGACAACACTCTAATTGCCAGGCATAATGAGGGCAAATTCCTAGGCCTATACCTCGACAACAACCTGAACTTCAGCACCCTTATCCAACACATAACCAAAAAAGTATCGAAAACGGTTGGGATCCTCTCCAAGATACGATACTACGTGCCGCAAACTGCCCTTCTCACACTATACCATTCACTTACATATCCATACCTCACCTATGCTGTCTGTGCTTGGGGTTCAACTGCAGCAACACACCTAAAGCCAATAATAACCCAACAAAAAGCCGCAGTAAGAATAATCACTAAATCCCATCCGTGGCAACACACCAACCTATGACACTGAGCTTGACTCTATCATCATTACTGATTCAATGTCATCATTGAAGGCTCTTGGCTCATATAATGACTCCAACAACATGCTCATTGGGGAAGCCAGGTATAGATACTCAAAAATTAGGGACAAAGGAATTAATGTACAATTGCTATGGATCCCATCACACATTGGATTACTCCTTCATGATAAAGTTGATATGTTAGCCAAGAAGAGTTATCGAGAAGAGAATGTAGAATATAACTTTGGGATAACTGTGTCTAGCATTAGGAAATAATTAGGAAGAAGTAAATAATGAAAATGATTGTATAGGAATGCAGTTAGAAGCCTGAGTAGATCTATTACCCACTATGATAACATGAACGTAGATAAGTATGTTTATGGAGCAACTTGCAATGTGAACAGACTGACTGATGTTGTAGTGGCCAGGCTTAGGCTTGGTTACAAAGTACTTCTGGCAGTTTGGAAGACACACAGATGATGATCAAACTAAATGTAAATTATGTGATCAGGCATATTGGTCACTCTCTTGAACACTATGTGCTTAATTGTCCACTTATTGAGGAATACAGAGACAGACAGTATAATAACCTATGTGACATGTCAAGATATCTTTTAATGAAAAATAGATACCAATATACTAAGCAATTTCCTAATTTGCTTGTAACAGATAAGTGAACTATAGATATGTAAATATAAATCCATATGTATTCCTGTTAACCCTTTGGGGCCTAGTTCCTAGGCCTTTTGTGTATCCATATGCTCTCACGCTACCGTCCACAGGATGGATATGGGGTGCACAATAAACTAGCCACTTCGGTGGCAAAATCTAAGTCTAATCTGGCAACACACCCCCCCACTCTTCATAGATCTAAACTTACTCCCTGTTCAGTACATCCACACTTACTACTGTGCAATCTACATCTACAGGACCTTAAATTCCAATATTAACCTTGACCTAAAACGCTTTCTTGATAGTTGTGACAGAACCCACAGGCACAACACCAGACACAAACATCTCTACGACATTCCCCGTGTCCGACTAAACCTTTACAAAAATTCAATGTATGTCAAAGGCCCTAAAATCTCGAACACCCTACCTGAGAACTCTAGAACTGCAGACACATTCATCACCTTCAAAACTACCATCAGAAAACATCTTATCTCCCTGATACACCCTGTCAACTAATAATACGAATACCACCTGGTGGTTCACACTTACACTTACTCACCCATTTGACCATAAACAGAAATATCAATCTCAGTCTCAAAATAATGAATCTTAACTAGTCATAAGTTGGCCTGTGATACTCCAATACTGAAACTATGTATAGTGCCAAAACAAAAGCATTCACATTGCTAAACTCACAACTAGTGTTTAGTCACTTAGCCATAATACCAACTTACCTCATAATTTTGTAATATTTTAAACTTAAGATTTAATATAAGTCTGCCCGAAATGCCTAGCCATGCTGGTGTTCTAGTGGTACACTCTGTAATTATTATTTTACTACATGTAAACCACACAATAACCAAATTCTGTAAACTCAGCATTGTAATCCTTATAGAGAATAAACTTTGAATTTGAATTGGTAGGCCCACATGTGAGAGAATGGGTCTGTGTGGTCAGTGTGTACTATATAAAAAAAATCCTGATCCTGCAGCAAGCAATGCATAACGAGAGAAAAAAAATGACCGTGTAATTGGATTAAAGCGCCGAATTTGAGGTGTATTTTCATATAGTATATTTATGATTGTATTCTCGTTTTCTTGGTTGCATTTGATAGAATGGAAAACATATTACAGAAATAGAGATGATTTTGATTAGTTTCACGATGAAAATGACCTTGAAATTGAGCTCAAAGTAGCGGAAATGTTCGATCTTTACCAATGTTCAAGAGTAAGCTCCACACGTCCAATACACATCAACTAGGGAGTCTAATATTCTTTCACTAGTGCACTGATATTATACTATTTTTACAATAATGCAGTAGTCTGCATAACAATAAATCTTCTATTTTTTGTGTGATTAAAAAATCAAAATAGAAAGCAAGAGTAATGTAAGAGGGGCCTGGAGACATGACTAATGACTTTATTTTAGTGCCAAGAATGTCTGCATTTTTTATTCTGGACCCTATTTTGAAATTGACATCTTTTTTAATTTGCATAAAATTGGCAAAATTGCCAATTTCTGATCACTTCATTGGGTAGTTGAAATCAGTAAATGGGTGGTTTATTGTACTCGATTAATAGAAAAAATGGAGTTCTAAAGAAATAGCTATGAGTTTGGTCGACTGAAACAATGGAAACGGCCGAAAATAGGGCTCAAATTCGGCAAAATCGCCTATGCATATATGTTTCCGAGATAGCTAACTTTGCAGTAGCGTAATTCCATAAGTTTTTGATCAAATTTTGTACTTTTGGTGTCATTACCATTGGGAAAAGATTCTCTATAATTTCATAAGAAAAAATAGTTTTTTTTTTCGACACCAGGAGACACTTCAGGATTTGGGGTTGCGACAGTCAAAGGGTTAAGGGTTAAAGCTCCTTTATTGAAATATCTCCGGCAAACTTTTGACTAGTTTAAGATTTATTAGACAATAACTTTATTTGTAATTTTATGTTTACAGTCATTTGGGTGGGTGTAAGTGTAAATTCGGGGAAATCACAGATATTGAGAGTAGGTCTAGTTTTGTTTTTTATATGTGTATGATACAAGTAAGAGAATAGGTGGTTTTCTTGAAGACAGCCAGGGGTCTATTGGTACTCCCCCTTATGTATGCTGGGAGGCAGTTGAACAGTCTTGGGCCCCAGACACTTACTGTGTTGTCTCTCAGTGTATGCGTGCTGCCCCTGCTTTTCATGGGGGAAATGTTACATCTGCTGCTGAGTCTTTTGCTTTCATAGGGAGTGATTTTCGTGTGCAAATTTGGTACTAATCCCTCTAGGATTTTCCAAGTGTATATTATCATATATCTCTCTACCTGCACTCCAAGGAATACAGATCAGGGGCCTTCAACCATTCCCAGTAGTTTATGTGCTTTATCGTACTTATGTATGCTGTGAAAGTTCTTCGTATACACTCTCCAGGTCAGCAATTTCCCTTGTCTTGAAGGGGGCAGTTAGTATACAGCAGTATTCTAGCCTAGAGAGAACAAGCGATTTGAAGAGAATCATCATGGGGTTTGCATCCCTAGTTTTGAAGGTTCTCATTATCCATCCTATCATTTTCCTAGCAGATGCGGTAGATATATTGTTGTGGTCTTTGAAGGCAAGGTCCTCTGATGTTATCACTCCCAGGTCCTTCACATTACTTTTTCACTCTATTGCATGGTTAGAACTTGTCGTATACCCTGATACAGTTATAATTTTCTCAAGTTTTCCATATCTGAGTAGTTGAAATTTCTCTTCATTGAACTTCATATTGTTTTGAGTGGCCCATTTGAAGATTTGGTTTATGTCCACTTGGAGTCTTGCTGTGTCTTCGATGGCAGTCACTGTCATGGCAATCGGGTGTCATCCGCAAAGGAAGACACGGAGCTATGGCGTACATCTCTGTCTATGTCAGATATGAGGATGAGGAATAGAATGGGAGCGAGTACTGTGCCTTGTGGAACAGAGCTTTTCACAGTGTCTGCCTCAGACTTTACTCTGTTTACTGTTACTCATTGTGTTCTATTTGTCAGGAAGTTATAGATCCATCTACCAGCTTTTCCTGTTATTCTTTTATCATGCATTTTGTACCCTATTACACCATGGTAACACTTGTTGAAAGCTTTTGCAAAGTCTGTGTGTACTACATCCTCATTTTGTTTATCCTCTACAGTACCCAGGACCTTGTCATAGTGATCCAGTACTGGGACAGGCAGGAGCGACCTGCTTGATAAAACATTCCACAGAAAAAATTTATTTATGGTCAAAATTTCATTTTTTACAGGGCTTTAGGTTGATGCTTGTTGCTGTCATTAGATCGTGGATTGCGAACTGTCCTATAGTAAATCAAAATGGCAGATGGTATGCTTTTGCTCTCCTGGAACAGCCACCATGCCACATTTTGTGATATACTCTCAAGACTTCGAGAAAAGGTTTGTTGTTTTATTTATTGGGTGTGTTTCTAACAAGAAATTGCTGTATCATTTGAGTGCAAGCCCTACTGTTGTTATAAGCAAACCCTGCTGTTATTATGGCAAGCCCTGTTGTTATTATGCCGATCCCTGCTGTTATTATGGCAAGCCCTGCTGTTATTATTGTAATACTGTGCTATTAGTGTTTGTAGTGCAGCCTCAATTTGGACATACAGTATAGTAGGACCCTTATATCCACAGGTCCTGTATCCTTGGTTTCAGTTATTTGCTGTTTACCATGGCCCAAAAATAACCCTTAAGGGGCAGTAGAACAACTATTTGGGGCGCTAGAACAACTATTTTTTTTTTTTACCGTCAGATTTCTTTCATTGTTGGTGCACAAGACAAAGTTTTTACACTATTTACTGTAAATATTTGTCAATAAGATATCCCAAACAACAACTGAAAGAAGAACGATTTACTGCAAATGCCCTTTGGCAGGATGGTAGTCCCATATGGCATGATGTAAGGTTGTGATGAATGGTTTGAAAAACCGACAAGTTGAAGATTGAGACACTTATGCAGCATATGGGAATCTTTATTCAGGAAACGTTTTGCCACACAGTGGCTTCATCAGTTCAATACAAAGAGGAAGGCGTAAGGAGAGGAGGAGTATGAGGTAATCAGTCCCTCAGCCTGGAGTCGATGTGTTCAGTCCACATCTGATGGACTGAACACATCGACTCCAGGCTGAGGGACTGATTACCTTATACTCCTCCTCTCCTTACGCCTTCCTCTTTGTATTGGACTGATGAAGCCACTGTGTGGCGAAACGTTTCCTGAATAAAGATTCCCATATGCTGCATAAGTGTCTCAATCTTCAACATGATGTAAGGTTGTTTGGGCACTTGGTACCCAGAGAATAATGCTAATACGATTTTTTGGTGATGCACTTTCCTCTAAATATCTTTTCTTTATTCCACAAAAAAATAAAGTTTGTTTGTTCTTAGACTTTTGCAAAAAATCTGCCCTTTACTACCACATAAATCCCAAAATATTTGGAATGTTTCCAAAAGTGCATCACTAAAATTAAGAACAATCATTATTTTACAATTTCTGTGAATATTACCCCACTTAATTAAGTAATAAAGGCTTAGTTAAGTGAAATAAGTGAATAAGTTACTTCCAAGATATAGGCCTCGAACGCCAGCAGGCCTTCCGTCTCAAATTTTTTTTTTTTTGCAAAAATCGCGTTTTGGTGTTTTCCTTAGTAAACTGGTGTTCTACTGCAGTTATCCTCTTCAAAACACCGTTTTCTCTTACTCAAGGCCAAAGAATACGACATGGGGAGGAGGGGAAATTCAAAGTTTATTCTCTATAAGGATTACAATGCTGAGTTTACAGAAATTTGGTTATTGTGTGGCTTACATGTAGTAAAATAGTGATTACAGAGTGTACCACTAGAACGCTTAGCATGGCTAGGCATTTCGGGCAGACTTAGTTTTATTCTTAATTGTAAAATATTATAAATTATGAGGTAAGTTGGTATTATGGCTAAGTGACTAAATACTAGTTTGTGAGTTTAGCAATGTAAATGCTTTTGTTTTGGCACAGTACATAGTTTCAATATTGGAGTATCACAGGATTCATTATTTTAAGATTGAGATTAATATTTCTGTTTATGGTCAAATGAGTCAGTGAGTGTAAGTGTGAACCACCAGGTGTGTATTTGTGTAGTTAGTTGACGGGGTGTATCAGGGAGATAAGATGTTTTTCTAATGGTAGTTTGAAGGTGATGAATGTGTCTGCAGTTCTAGAGTTCTCAGGTAGGGTATTCCAGATTTTAGGGCCTTTGACATACATTGAATTTTTGTAAAGGTTTAGTCGGACACGGGGAATGTCGTAGAGATGTTTGTGTCTGGTGTTATGCCTGTGGGTTCTGTCACAACTATCAAGAAAACATTTTAGCTCAAGGTTGATATTAGAGTTTAAGGCCCTGTGATGTAGATTGCACAGTAGTAAGTGTGGATGTACTGAACAGGGAGTAAGTTTAGGTCTATGAAGAGTGGGGGGCGGGTGTTGCCAGGGATGGGATTTAGTGATTATTCTTACTGCGGCTTTTTGTTGGGTTATTATTGGCTTTAGGTGTGTTGCTGCAGTTGATCCCCAAGCACAAATAGCATAGGTGAGGTATGGATAAATAAGTGAGTGGTATAGTGTGAGAAGGGCATTTTGCGGCACGTAGTATCGTATCTTGGAGAGGATCCCAACCGTTTTGGATACTTTTTTGGTTATGTGCTGGATATGGATGCTGAAATTCAGGTTGTTGTCAAGGTATAAGCCTAGGAATTTGCCCCCATTATTTCTGGTAATTAGAGTGTTGTCAATCTTAATGTTAATTTGTGCATCTCCTGCTCTGCTACCAAACATAATATAGTAGGTTTTGTCAGTGTTAAGCGTAAGTTTATTGGCTGTCATCCAAGTCGATATTTTGATCAGCTTCTCATTCACAGTGGTGTTGAGGGTGGCAAGATTGGGTGAGAGATGACATAAGTCTTTGTCGTCAGCAAAGAGAATGGGTTTCAGTGTTGGGATACTTTTTGGAAGGTCATTGATGTATATGAGGAAGAGCAGGGGACCAAGGACACTTCCCTGCGGGAACTCCAGTATCAAGTGGCCGTGTTGCTGATGCTGTGTCTTTAATGGTGACATACTGATACCTATTAGTAATGTAAGATTTGAAATAAGCAAGCCCATGGCCTCTTATACCGTAATGATCAAGTTTGTAGAGTAGGATGTCGTGGTCTACTGTGTCAAAAGCTTTTCTTAGGTCAATAAAAATTCCTAGTGGATATTCCTTATTTCCAATGCTGTGTAAAGCAGATCTAGCATTTTTATGATTGCATCATTAGTGCTTTTATTTTTCCTGAATCCAAATTGGCAGGGGTTGAGTATGTTTTGAGCCATTATAAATGAATACAGTCTCCTGTGCACGAGTTTCTCAAAGATTTTGGATAACAATGGTAAGTTAGATATTGGCCTATAGTTGTTTAAGTCTGTAGGGTCACCACCTTTATGTATTGGTTTTAACCCCTTTCCATCTTGAGTAGTTTCGGGAAGGTGCTAGTCTCTAGTGGACTTGTTAAAGAGTAATGAAATAGCATGCGAAAGGACATGGGCCGCTCGCTTGTACAGTAATGGTGGGACATGAGACAGATTCCCCGAGTTATTTTTAAGTGACTTTATAATCTCGGTGACTTCCGTGGGCTCAGTTGGTGCAAGATAGAAGGAATTAGGGAAATTTCCATCTAGGTAGTCCCCGGCATGGGCATTGGTATGTGGGATTTTACTGGCAAGATTAGATCCTATGGTTGAGAAGAGTCGTTTATCTTGTTAGCTGTGTCAGTGGGATGTAGTGGTGTTTCATTAGGTTTAGTTAGGACAATATTCTTGGTTTTTCTCAGTTTGTGGGTCCCTAGAATCTGAGAGAGTGTTTTCCAGGTCTTTTTTATATCTCCTCTAGTGTCTGTGAATCTACTGGAGTAGTATAGTTGTTTGGCTTTCTTTATTACTTTGGTGAGAGCTGATGAATTTAGTGTTTAAGAATATCTTTGTGTATTAAGCCTTGTTTATATTGCTTTTCATATTGGTGTTTCTTGTCAATGGATTTCAGAATGGTGCTGGTTAGCCATGGGCAACCAAGCTGTTTGTTTGTGATCTGTTTTGTTTTTATAGGACAATGTTTGTTGTATAGTCTAAGTAATTTGTTAAGAAAAATGTCTGTCCAGTCATCAGTACCATTGGCCTTGGAGAATTCTGTAGGCCAGTCAACAGTCTCTAGGTCAGCTGTGAACTTCCTTACTGAGGCCTCGTCTTGGAGTCTAAATGAGACTTTGTTGTATTCAAGTGGTGGTTTACTAATGTTTGTCAGGAGGAAGGTAGGGTAGTGGTCTGTAGTGTTATCTGTGATTATCCCTGATTTAAGGGGGGCTAGTATATGGGTCCATTTGTGGTCTATTATGGTTGCACTTGTCTCAGTGAGCCTGGTTGGTTTAGTTATTGTTGGTATGAGAAGTGTGTTGTTCATATTGTTGATGAAATCAGTTACAGGCTGATCATCTAGTAAGCCAAGGTTGATGTTGAAGTCTCCAGCTAAGAGAAGGTGGTGCTTATTCATTTGTCTGTTTGTTATTAGTGATTTTAATTTCTCACTGAAATTTGGGATGTTTGTGTGAGGTATCCGGTAAATGGCACCGATTGTTATAGGCGTCATAAGGTTTTTTACAGTAAAATTAGCAAAAATGTATTCCCCATATTCATCACTAAAGCAAGTGGTGCTAATACAAGATAATTGGTTAGAGTAATAGATTGCAATACCACCCCCAATATTGCTGGTGGACTCTCGCCATATTATGGCCTATTTTATTCAGTCTAGAGTAATATAACATGTTTGTATGTTATTTATAGTGTTTATTATATATTAGATCAATTCTGATAGATAAATAACCCATAGAGTTGATATAAGCATAATAATGAAGTGATTTCTCCGGCCTCTGTCTGGAGCAGGAATACTGCCGGTGTTCCTAGATGGTTCCTGATTGGCTAGAAGTCTACGGACAAGTTCCGCCTACTTTTTATGATGCCAAATAGTCAGTTATTATGTTAGAAAGAATAATGCAAGAAAAAGCGATAAAAAACAAGGAAAAAAATCCAAAAAATGTATGGGCTGAGAGCAGATGCGCTATGCAGATCGCTGTCACCATATCTGATATAAATGACTATAATTTCTTGTAGAAATGTCTGTAGAACATTGATTTTTGTACCATTGTGTTGCCAAAGAGTTAAGCTATTTTTCTATATGAATAACTCAATTTCCATAATTTTTCTAAAAAATAAAAATCGCTCGCGCGCGCACACCTCATACCGCCCCTTAATTTTGCTTAATGGTCAACATGCAAAAGTAGTGATGGTGGAAGTTCTTCAAAGCCTAATAGTAGCTGTGAAGTGCTTTCCTATCAGTAAGAAAGTAATAATTCTCTATTTATTGTGTATAATTTATCAGTTAAACTTAAATGTAAATGTAAATGACATACATAGGGTTTGCTACTATCTGCGGTTTTGATATCTGCGGCAGGTCTTTGGAATGTATTCCTGGTGGATATGGGGGTCCTACGGTATAGACATACTTAAAGTTGTAGACTAACTTTTCTTGTTTTTTATATTTTTTTTTTTTTGGGGGGGGGGGGAGGGAGAGGTAACATGATTCAAATAATGTTATGTTTATGATAATGTACTTAATATTTTTCTCACAGGAGAGCTTCACAGATGTGACCTTGGCATGTGAAGGAAAGTGTTATCCTTTACACAAGCTGGTGTTGTCAGCCTGTAGTGAATATCTTGAAAAGATAATTAAAAGTACACCATGTAAGCATCCTGTTATTGTGCTTCAGGATATTCGTTGCAGTGAGCTAGAAGCACTTATAAACTATATGTATGTTGGTGAAGTTAATGTGCCCCAAAGTTCCCTCACTTTCCTCATCAAAGCTGCAGAACTATTGCAAATCAAAGGGTTAGCTGTTCCTGATGAACCACCCTCAACAAATAAAAAGAAAGCTAGTACTCATGTTAGTGATGACCAAACTAGTCCACAAGTTAAACGAAAGAAATATGACAGTAGCAGCAGCATCTGTCAACAAGAACACACTCAGATCTCCAGTAGCCCTTCACCACACCACAGAGAGAGAAAACATACATCAGATTATTCTAAGACACAGCCAGCAAATGCAGACCAAGTTGTTGACCAACATCACTCATCTGAAAATTCTCTAGGATGTATTCAGGTATGTTTCTTGTAATTTTAAATTTCCTTTTTCAGAACCAAATGTTACAATGTTATTCCTAATTACTGTATATGTAAATGGAGACCTAACTGATTGTTTTTTTTAATACATTGGCCATTTCCCACTGAGGCAGGGTGACCTAGAAAGAAAGAAAAAAATTTTCATCATCATTCAACACTTCCGCCATCATTTATACATAATCAGTCTTTGCAGAGAGCACTCAGATACAACAGTTTAGATGTCATTCCAAACAGTTAATATTCCAAGCCTCCTCTAAAGTGCAGGCATTGTACTTCCCAACGTGACTCATGAAATCGTAATGACACAATTGCAAACAAACCATACCATGGGCGGGATTTGAACCCGCGGTCAGAGAGTCTCAAAACTCCAGACCGTCGCGTTAGCCACTGGACCAGCTAGCCACAATAAGATTCGTCCAACTAGGTATATTTCTACACCATAGGAAGATTAGCATTTGTGGTCACAGTGGTGCCTATGCTAACCTTCCTATGGTGTAGAAATATACCTAGTTGGACGAATCTTATTGTGGCTAGCTGGTCCAGTGGCTAACGCGACGGTCTGGAGTTTTGAGACTCTCTGACCATGGGTTCAAATCCCGCCCGTGTCCCACTTCTGGGACTCGAGTCCAGCTAACCGGTTTCCCTGGATCCCTTCACAAAATATTACCCTTCTCACACTCCAACAGCTGGTCAGGTCCCCAAAACCATTCATTACCATAATAATAAGGTAACATTTGTGATGGAATCCAAAGACACTGGTAAGCCTGATTTGATTTCTAGAGGTGGGAAGAACAGAGCCTTTACTCTGAAGGATGGATGAGGATGTTGCTGTTTGGAAATCATTTCACTTGTGATGTTTTTGTGCTTGTAGGAAAAAAAATTCTTATAGTTTGAAAGAGTTTATTTTTCTGAATCGAGTGAGACTCACATAGGTGTAACCATTTTATGATGTGCTGAAACTGACCGAAATTGATGCGCTGTTGGCAAGATTGGTGCTAATGCACCAATTAGAATTTTTCAGTTTCCAGTTTTTCTAAGCCAAATTAAGTTCTGTTTAAAAAAAAATTGTATGAACTAGTTAATATTAATTATCACATTTTGCAATGAAAATATCCTGATTTCAAACAATATTAGCACACTGCACCAGTTTTCACCTAAAACATAGTAGTATATGCATTTAGCACTGCAACATCCAATAGATGTAAAAATAGCTTCATATACCACTTGAAGCTCATTCTGACACATTCCACAGAGCTAGTTTGCATGCCACATTTATCTACCAAATGCATGTTGATAATGTAGTCAGTGGCTACAAGTGGTTTCACAATAAGTTCTTCTGTTTGCAAATTAGTAAGAATTTCTTTCTCTTGTTTGAGGGGAAAAAACTGCCCATTCTTTTCTTGGAACTACTGAATAAAGTGTAATTTGACAGATTTTCACAAAATTCATCAAATTTCAATTTAAAAAGTCCTAAATAAATAATGCAGGCATTCCAGCCACTAAAGCAACATTTCCCCTGTTCATTAATCACATTCCCACTCCTCTCCTATATAACACTTTCCCTCCATTGGAATCCATTATCACAAAAAATTGAAGTTTTACCCAATCTCTTGGCTAAATTTAACCGAGAATGATTGGTTATTTATTTAGGACATCCCAGTAATTGAAGCAGACTTAATAAATACTGGGAGGTAGAGGTCTGTACCCATCCTCAGGAAAATTGCCAAAAATCAAATATTTTCTCTCGCTTTGAGCTCTGTTTCAAACTACTTCTGATCTTAAACCAACCAAAATCATGTCTATTTCACTAATTTTTTTTTTCATTCTATCACTTGATACCAAAACAGTAGCCAATAAAACCATAAAAAACACTCTAAAAAATACCTCAAAGTTGCTATTTATACCAAACATTGTAAGAGGCTTTGCTCTTCCCATCATCCACTGCAAAGGGCAGAATTTTTGTGTGCTGTACACACACACACACACACACACACACACACACACACACACACACACACCACACACACACACACACACACACACACACACACACACACACACACACACACACACACACACACACACACACACACACACACACACACACACACACACGCACACGCCTAGAAAGTGACGTAGTGGAGGCGGGAACCATACATAGTTTTAAGGCGAGGTATGATAGAGCTCATGGGGCAGGGAGAGAGAGGCCCTAGTAGCAATCAGCGAAGAGGCGGGGCCAGGAGCTGTGACTCGACCCCTGCAATCACAAATAGGTGAGTACACCACACCACACCACACATACCCAGTCTCTCATGAATAGGCCAAAATTTACCTCGCAGTATAAATGATGGCACTGTGCTTAAAACATAGATCTACTTGGGCAACTCTGGCATCTGTAATGTAGATTAACATGAGAGACAGTGAAAGAGTTAATAACAGGTATGGAATGAACTAAATTGATGTTTTTAATAGTATTTTTAAATTGTTTACATGTACAGAATTAACATTTTATTTTTTCTAGGATGTGTTTGTTGAAACTGGTATAAAAGAAGAAGTTTTAGAAGACATAAACACTGACATAAATTTAAATGCAGCAGATCCTGGCTTGGATTATCAAACTCATAATAATTCCTCTTACGAAGTGGAGGATACCAGAATAGAAAATAATACAGAAGGAAAAGGCAGCTTTCCACTATCTGTTGAATATGAAAGGCAATCTCTTGATCATCAAGAAATGCTGTCACAGGCACCCATTGTATCTGTTAGTGCTTCAGAGGTTCAAGGGGTAAGCTCCATTAGAAACATTAAAATAGATTTTATCAGCAAACATTATAATAATTGTTTTATCAGTGTTAAATTTAAGTAAGGAGTAATTGTTAGTTGAGAAACATGAACATCTATTGTCAAGAAGATAATCTGTTCCCGTGAGGAGAGTAAATGTTCCTTCAATGCTGAACAGTCTAACACTCTTGATGATGGGGGTGAACTCAGATATTTATTGGTCAGGTTTACCAGAGATGGAAGAGTTAATGTATTTTCTTTCGACCACTTTAGTGGATTTCCTTCTTTAGGCAATAACGCCATTGCCATATACAGTGGACCCCCGCATAACGATTACCTCCGAATGTGACCAATTATGTAAGTGTATTTATGTAAGTGCGTTTGTACGTGTATGTTTGGGGGTCTGAAATGGACTAATCTACTTCACAATATTTCTTATGGGAACAAATTCGGTCAGTACTGGCACCTGAACATACTTCTGGAGTGAAAAAATATCGTTAACCGGGGGTCCACTGTACTGTATTTGTATATTTTTGTTTCCATGTTTGTGGCAACATGAATCACAGTGCATTTGTTTTTGTATACTGCTTTTTGTGTTTTGGTAAGGGATCCCAAGACAGATGTTTGTGACTTACTGTTTTTAGGAATGCTAGCTGCAGTTTCTTTATAAAATTAATCAAAATTAAACTTGTCATGTTCTTCATTCTCAGTTACATCATCTTAACTTTCTTCATCAGACTCATTGTTTCATTATACTGTACTACTAGAGGTGCACACTATCAACAAGTAGAACAGTAAGACGTGCAGCAGTTGAATATCTTTATATCCAAAGCATTTCGCCCAAACAGTAGGCTTCTTCAGTCAGATACTGATGTGACTAAATATGGAGACAGCAGAAGCAGTGGAGAAGTAAATATGTTGTGATCAGCTCAATAGCATTGAAGTAGTAGTTTTGAGGTGGTCAGTCCCTCAGTCATTAAAAGTGTTCAGCTTCATAGTTTGGAACATAGTTCAAGAAAATGAAGCTGAAGATTTTTCTTGGCTGAGGGACAGACCACCTCAAAACTATTCCTTAAAAGCTGTTGAACTGATTACACCGTGAACTCAGTCATAATAGATGAGAAAGATAATTAATTCGAGAGATTAGATTTTGCCACTGAATGGCTAGTTTATTGTACACCCCATATCCATCCTGTATGGAAAAGATGGTAGGAGCAAAAAGATATCAAAGAGCCACCAAGTGCACAGGAGGATATCTCCTGGGACAAAATGGCATCTTATCAAACTAACCCTCCTGTCAGAAGTATCATGAGATAATTTTACATCAGAAAAATTATCTCATGAATTCTGACCCTAATGGAAAAAAAATGGAACAGTTGAAGGAGCACATAAACAACAGCAGACATGAGAAGGAGAAATTGGTTGGCAGGCAGAAAAGGAAAAACAGCCTCAGAAATTTCTCCAGGTATGCCCCTTCCCCAACCCTCAACAAGTCCAAAGTACTTTATGAACCCTCTTTCTTTAATACAAATACAATAGTTCAAGAGCCACACCCCTAGATATTCCTGACTAAATGATAGCCAAACTAGGTTGGAGGATTATTGATAAATGTTTTAAAATGCTCCTTCAGCAGTGTTAAATCCTCGAGTCATTTTTAATGTCAAAAATATATTACATACTGTAGACTCAGAGAAAGGTAGTCCCAGATTGGAGGAAACAGGGCATCAGTGACATAGGAGCAGGAGGAGGAACACCTGTTAATTGTAAGAACATGAACTTTAGAGAACATTCATAGAAGCCTTAGAAGATACCTGCCTGTATAGAAGAGGAGAACTAGAAATGCATGAGATAAATAGTTGAATAGTCTTAGCTATTAAAGTGCTGTACAGTATATGTAGAAAGACTGGCCTATATATGAGAATAGTATTCAATACTGGAGTCTATCAATTCCTTATGAAGCTTAAAGAATTGATTAATAGAGCAAGTGCATATTCTTAAATTTGAATAATCTTCCAAGCTTCTTAAGAGGCATATTTGACTCCTGTAGAAATGCTATTCTCCTTGAAAGAATATATTTTATAGTTAGATCCAGAAATTTTTGTATAAAACCTGTTAAATAGCTGGGAATTTGTTCAGTAGTACAGTTAAGAATCTGCAAATAAAAAAAAAATTCATGTACTGAATTTAGCCTTGTGGTAAATCTATAAGGCATAATTGTGTGAAAGATTATAAAATATTCTTTTGATCAACATTGAAATGCCTGATGGAATTTGTATTTTTGTCTATAGTGGATGACTGAGGGCACACTTGGAGGAGAGTTGACAGCAGTGGAAGGCTACAGTGGGGTTGGAGTCCTTGATTCATCTACCATGATAACTCAGCAGGGAGCAACTTCACAAGAGGAACAAATGGTTAGTGTTAAAATCAGCTTTGCATTTTTTGGAAAGAGTACTGTTTTCACTAGCAGTATTTACCTGGTAATCTTTTAGAATGCATGCATGTATAGTGATATCCATGCAATAGCTTTATGTTAAATTGTTGAACTCTGATTTTTATGGAAGACTAATCTACAAGGAAATTGCAGTCTCTGAAGCCAGGACTGGTACCTAAGTTCAGACAGCTGAAACATATTTAAAAACTTGTTATAAAAATATTTGCATATTCAAAAGATACATTGTTTGCAATCAGTTACTGCTGATCCAGAATGATTGGAGCATGAGGTGTTCTGGAACAAATTAAAATCTGGTTCAGACCTTGAAAAAGGAATTCTAAGAAAGAAGTATAGCACTTATTAGTCTCTTGTTGTTGTCATCTAAGACCCTAGCATTTTTTCAATTTAGCAGTGATGAAAGATCCTTAACAATTTTTCCCATTTCTGAAGGGCATTTTGGTATTCACAGTAGAATCTTGCATATTGTGAGGGTTATGTTTCTGTTAATCTGTGCCTTGCATGAAATAGTGATACTCAGTATGTGGACTAAGGAACATACAAGAAAAATAAGGTTATGTTCATAACACCTTGAAAAAATCCAAATAAGTTTTTTAAATTTTATAATTTGTTAAAAATAACACTTCTCATACCCCACATTGTAGTTGTCATTGCTTGTTGATCTGAAAATATGTGAAGATTCATATGGTCCTGTGCAATACCTGTAAAAATGTGTGAGAGGCAGCAGCAGCTACCACCACCATCACCTGCCTCAGCATGTCAACAGTGGTAAAAAATAAGCTACATTTCTTTATAGTAAGTGTTTATGCACCTGGAGAAGAGAGAAGTGTATAAGAGAGAGAGAGATTTTGGGAAATGTTGAGTGAGTGCATGGGGAGTTTTGAACCAAGTAAGAGAGTACTTGTGGTTGGGGATCTCAATGCTAAAGTGGGTAAAAATGTTGTAGAGGGATTGGTAGGTAAATTTGGGGTGCCAGGGGTAAATGAAAATGGGGAGCATTTAATTGAACTATGTGTAGGATGAGGTTTGGTAATAAGTAATACATATTTTATGAAAAAGGGGATAAATAAGTATACAAGATATGATATAGCACGTAATAAAAGTAGTTTGTTAGATTATGTATTGGTGGATAAAAGGTTGATGGGTAGGCTTCAGGATGTACATGTTTATAGAGGGGCAATGGATTTATCGGATCATTATTTAGTTGTAGCTACAGTTAGAGTTAGAGGTAGATGGGACAAAAGGAAAATGGCAGGATTAAGTAAGAGAGAGATGAAAGTTTACAAACAAAGGGAGGAGGAAGTTAGGGTGAGATGTAAGCAACTATTGGCAGAAAGGTGGGATAGTGCAAGTATGGGTAGTAGGGGGCTGAAGAGGGATGGGATAGTTTTAAAAATGCAGTATTAGAATGTGGGGCAGATGTACATGTTTATAGAGGGGCAACTGATATATCGGATCATTATTTAGTTGTAGCTACAGTCAGAGTAAGAGGTGGATGGGACAAGAGGAAAATGGCAACAAAAAGTAAGAGAGAGGTGAAAGTGTTTAAACTAAGGGAGGAGGAAGTTCGGGTGAGATATAAGCAACTATTGGCAGAGTGGTGGGCTAGTGCAAGTATGAGTAGTGTGGGGGTTGAAGAGGGTTGGAATAGTTTTAAAAATGCAGTATTTGAATGTGGGGCAGAAGTTTGTGGTTATAGGAGGGTGGGTGCAAGAGGAAAGAGGAGTGATTGGTGGAATGATGAAGTAAAGGGTGTGATAAAAGAGAAGAAGGTATCTTATGAGAGGTTTTTACAAATCAGAAGTGTTATAAGAAGAGCAGAGTATATGGAGAGTAAAAGAAAGATGAAGAGAGTAGTGAGAGAGTGCAAAAGGAGAGCAAATGATAGAGTGGGAGAGGCATTGTCAAGAAATTTTAATGAAAATAAAAAAATTTTGGATGAGTTAAACAGGTTAAGAAAGCCTAGGGAACGAATGGATTTGTCAGTTAAAAACAGAGTAGGGGAGTTAGTAGATGGGGAGATGGAGGTATTGGGTAGATGGCAGGAATATTTTGAGGAAATTTTAAATGTCGACGAAGAAAGGGAGGCGGTAATTTCATGCATTGGCCATTGCGTATAAATCTGTAGGGAAAGGAAGGTGGGGTAGGGGTCGTCCTCGAAAAGGTTGGAGGGAGGGGGTAAAGGAGGTTTTGTGGGCGAGGGGCTTGGATTTCCAGCAAGCGTGCGTGAGCGTGTTAGGAGTGAATGGAGACGAATGGTATTTGGGACCTGACAAGCTGTTGGAGTGTGAACAGGGTAATATTTAGTGAAGGGATTCAGGGTGTGTAGAAGAGAGGGAGACTACTTCCCGGTAAAAGTAGGTCTTAGACAGGGATGTGTAATGTCACCATGGTTGTTTAATATATTTATAGATGGGGTTGTAAAGGAAGTAAATGCTAGGGTGTTCGGGAGAGGGGTGGGATTAAATTTTGGGGAATCAAATTCAAAATGGGAATTGACAGTTACTTTTTGCTGATGATACTGTGCTTATGGGAGATTCTAAAGAAAAATTGCAAAGGTTAGTGGATGAGTTTGGGAATGTGTGTAAAGGTAGAAAGTTGAAAGTGAACATAGAAAAGAGTAAGGTGATGAGGGTATCAAATGATTTAGATAAAGAAAAATTGGATATCAAATTGGGGAGAAGGAGTATGGAAGAAGTGAATGTTTTCAGATACTTGGGAGTTGACGTGTCGGCAGATGGATTTATGAAGGATGAGGTTAATCATAGAATTGATGAGGGAAAAAAGGTGAGTGGTGCGTTGAGGTATATGTGGAGTCAAAAAACGTTATCCATGGAGGCAAAGAAGGGAATGTATGAAAGTATAGTAGTACCAACACTTATATGGGTGTGAAGCTTGGGTGGTAAATGCAGCAGCGAGGAGACGGTTGGAGGCAGTGGAGATGTCCTGTTTAAGGGCAATGTGTGGTGTAAATATTATGCAGAAAATTCGGAGTGTGGAAATTAGGAAAAGGTGTGGAGTTAATAAAAGTATTAGTCAGAGGGCAGAAGAGGGGTTGTTGAGGTGGTTTGGTCATTTAGAGAGAATGGATGAAAGTAGAATGACATGGAAAGCATATAAATCTATAGGGGAAGGAAGGCGGGGTAGGGGTCGTCCTCGAAAGGGTTGGAGAGAGGGGGTAAAGGAGGTTTTATGGGCAAGGGGCTTGGACTTCCAGCAAGCGTGCGTGAGCGTGTTAGATAGGAGTGAATGGAGACGAATGGTACTTGGGACCTGACGATCTGTTGGAGTGTGAGCAGGATAATATTTAGTGAAGGGATTCAGGGAAACCGGTTATTTTCATATAGTCGGACTTGAGTCCTGGAAATGGGAAGTACAATGCCTGCACTTTAAAGGAGGGGTTTGGGATATTGGCAGTTTGGAGGGATATGTTGTGTATCTTTATATGTGTATGCTTCTAAACTGTTGTATTCTGAGCACCTCTGCAAAAACAGTGATAATGTGCGAGTGTGGTGAAAGTGTTGAATGATGATGAAAGTATTTTCTTTTTGGGGATTTTCTTTCTTTTTTGGGTCACCCTGCCTCGGTGGGAGATGGCCGACTTGTTGAAAAAAAAAAAAAATTCAGGGAAATTACCGGTTATTTTTATATCTGGTTATTTTTATATAGCCGGACATGAGTCCTGGAAATGGGAAGTACAATACCTGCACTTCAAAGGAAGGGTTTGGGATATTGGCAGTTTGGAGGGATATGTTGTGTATCTTTATATGTATATACTTCTAAACGGTTGTATTCTGAGCACCTCTGCAAAAACAGTGATTATGTGTGAGTGAGGTGAAAGTGTTAAATGATGATGAAAGTATTTTATTTTTGGGGATTTTCTTTCTTTTTTGGTCACCCTGCCTCGGTGGGAGACTGCCGACTTGTTAAAAAAAAAAATAAGAAAAAAATTTGGAGTGAAATAAACAAGTTAAGAAAGCCTAGGGAATGAATGGATTTGTCACTTAAAAACAGAGTAGAGGAGTTAGTAGATGGGGAGCTGGAGGTATTGGGTAGATGGCGGGAATATTTTGAGGAACTTTTAAATGTCGATGAAGAAAGGGAGGCAGTAATTTCAGTCACTGGCCAGGGAGGTATAATGTCTTTTAGGAGTAAAGAAGAGCAGGATGTGAGTGTGGGGGAGGTGTGTGAGGCATTACATAGAATGAAAGGGGGTAAAGCAGCTGAAACTGATGGGATCATGACAGAAAAGTAGGGGGAGATAGTGTTGGAATGGTTGGTATTTTTGTTTAATAAATGTATGAATGATGGGAAGGTACCTAGGGATTGGCAGAGAGCATGTATAATTCTTTTATATAAAGGGAAGGGGGACAAAGATGATTGTGATAATCATAGGGGGATAAGCTTACTGAGTATACCAGGTAAAGTGTATGGTAGGGTTATTATTGAAAGAATTAGAGGTAAGACAGAGAGCAGGATTGCAGATGAGCAAGGAGGCTTTTAGAATGGGTAGGGGATGTGTAGATCAGGTGTTTACATTGAAGCATATTTTTTTTTTTTAACAAGTTGGCCATCTCCCACTGAGGCAGGGTGACCCAAAAAGAAAGAAAATCCCCAAAAAGAAAATACTTTCATCATCATTCAACACTTTCACCTCACTCATACATAATCACTGCTTTTGCAGAGGCACCCAGATACAACCGTTTAGAAACATATACAGTGGTACCTTGGGATACGATTTTATTTCGTTCCAGAAGGCTGTTCGAATGCTGATACCGAACAAATTTGTTCCCATAAGGAATAATATAAATTAGATTAATCCTTTTTAGACCCCAAAAATACACTTACAAAAGCACTTACATAAATACACTTACATAATTGTTCGAGTTTTCAGTTGTTCGTATCCCGAGGTACCACTGTACTATAAAGATATATAACATATCCCTCCAAACTGCCACTATC